CCACCCTCCCTTCCATTCCTCACATTAGGTGGGATTTCAGGGTCAGGGGGTCTGCACTGTTCAGTGTGTTAGATGCATATTCTCCCAACAGGACCGTGGGTAAGAGGTGTGTATGTGTATCAAGTCAGCAAACAGTGAATGAACATTTATTATCTGCCAGATACTGTGCTAAGTCCCTTACATGTATTAACTCATTTCATTGATCCTCGTGTCAGTTCTATGAGCTAGGCACTACCTTTCTTTCCATTTTACAGATGAGAATGTGAAGGCACTGAGCAAGTATTCAAGCCTCGGAAGGGCACACGGCTGGCCAGGGACAGGGCTGGGATCCGCAGTGTGGTGGTCTGGTTCCAGGACCTGCACTCTACCCCAGTTCATCATCCACAGCAGCATGAAGCCAGTATCCTGATCCCCAGTTTTATGGATAAGGATTTTTTTTTTTTAGTCTTTTTAAGTCTTAATTTTAATTCCAAGAATAAAGATATTTTGATGCACATTAAGAAACTTACCCAAGGGAGTGCCTGGGTGGCTCAGTGGGTTAAAGCCTCTGCCTTAGGCTCAGGTCATGATCTCGGGGTCCTGGTATCGAGCTCTGCATTGGGCTCTCTGCTCAGCAGGGAGCCTGCTTCCCTTCCTCTCTCTCTCTGTCTGCCTCTCTGCCTACTTGTGATCTCTGTCAAATAAATAAATAAAAGCTTAAAAAAAAAGAAACTTATCCAAGATCATAAACCAATATAGGAAGGCCCATATATGAAGCACCATCTGTCTGATTCCAAAGCTGAGACCTATGGGTCCTTGATGAAGATGTCTGAGTTCATTCGGGAGTGGGTTCTCAGACTTGTTTTTAGGTGCTTACTTTTTGAGGTTCCACTTTGATTTCTGCCAGAGCTTGGCAGTCAGGCCTCGGAGGGCTGTGCCTGCCCAGATCATATCTGTTAAGTCCTTGCTCACCCTGACTCTCACAGCCCGGACCCCGTGAGGCGCTGACATTCCTCCCCCTCCTCTCATCCTGGACCACTTGTTTTCTAGAACTCTTTCAGTGGGTCACAGTTTTGGTTGCCAGTGACAGAAAACTCGGCCTGAACTGGTCTTAACAGTGAAGAACTGTTAGGAGGTTTGCCTCTGGTTTGTTCAGGACTCTGGCTCTGTTTCTCAGTGATTCTCTCAGTTCTGCCTTCCTCTGTGTGTTAGTTTTGACTACTGGACTGGTTTGCCATGGATGCACCAAGATGGCTTCCAGCTGTAACTAAGACGCCATCTTTGCTTTTCTGTTGTCACCAAACAGCTGTCCCAACCTTGGCTCTGCGGGAACCATCTTAGGTCACATACTTACCCCTCACCTGTCACTATGGCAATGCGAGTGATCACGGGGGAGGGGGTGAATCCTCTCCTCCTCCTCCCCTACCTCTATTTTGGTCCCCAGGTCCAAGCAGACTCTTCTGCAAGACCGTGAAGGGAGGCCAACGTGGGCATCAAAGCTGACACAGGGACGGGATAGATACACGTCCAGCCATGTTGTGCCGCTCACACGTTCTTGCATATAAAGCTTCCATTTTCAAATCAGAGTGTCAAGGAGGGGCCTCCGCATTTTGCCAGAGGACTGGCATTCAGGCGACACATGTCATAACAATCTTGATGGCACTGGATGTTCTGCACAGAATAGAAACATGCTTTCCTGCTAGGAACATCACAGATCTGTTGAAGAGGGAGCAGTTCTAAGTGGGAAGGTGTGGTATGGAGGATCTGTAGGGTGGGTGGACTTGCTGGAACATTTTCAAGTGGGTAACATTTTCTTCCAAGCTCATGCCTTTTCCCTCCCGTGAAATGCTCATGCCTTTCTCTCCTTCCATGAAGAGGAGAGTCCTTTTAACTCTTCTCCTCCAGATCACCTTCCCACTGGAGACCTGAGCTACCGCCGTGGCCGCCCCCACAACCACTGAGAGGGACTGCTTCTCCTTTACTCCTTGGGCCAGAGGGCGGGCCAGACCCTTCCCTCCTACCTCAGTCCTTTGTTGGATTAGACTGGAATGTTGGACTGACTAAAGTCAGGGCTTAAGAAAAGCAGAAGGGTGTTATAGACAAAGAGGGACTTAAAGTGTTAGCTAGAGCAGCTCCTGCCCTGGTCTGTCTCCTTGGGTCCCTTGCAAAGATGTCCTCCTGCCCAGCGACTACCACCTCCTGATGGCAGACACTCTCTTTCCCCATGGTCTCCACTTACACTAGCATATTCCTAGGCATTTGGCAGCCAAACCCCAGACAGTGTGTTCTCTCCTGTGTTACCAGTCACTGTTTGCTGCCCCAGAATTACTTTTCCCCCAGATGATTAATAAGGGAACGTCCATTCCCTTCAGGGATTCGCCACCTTCAAGTCGTTTCTGGTCTAGGCATCAGAACACAATAGTCCAACACCAGTAAAAGCAAAGCGTGGGTGGCCCCAGGGCAATCGTCTCCTGATGCTTCCTGCAACTTTGTATGAATGAGAAGAGAACCCAGGGGGAGAGCATGACTTAGCTTAGAAAACACACTTGTCAGTGGCAGAATTTATGCACGGGGTTGGGGGGAGGGCATGATTAATGGGCATTCATGGTAGGGGCAGACTTTATACTGGAACAGATCGATGCTAACTTTAAACTCTAGAGGATGGTTGGAGAAGAACGATGCCAGACAGACCGGCCTGGCAGTGTGGAAGTGAAACTTTCAGGCACACCTCATCTATGACTGTGTGGCCAAAAGCAACAGACACTCTGAATCAGGATGGTGACCTGATCCGTGAATCATGGCAGGTCTGTCTGATGTTTCTTCTACAACGATGGATTGAGCACCTACTCTGTTCCCTGGCAGAGGATTGGAAGATGGAGCAGAGAGGGTCTCTATTCTCTAGAAGCTCACTGGCTGGTGGGGAAGGCTGACTTGTAAGTGCGTCATTATAATGCAGGGTTCATGTTGTAACAGAGACGTGGTTACTATACCAGAGGAGTAAAGCCAGGGACACACATTAGCTTCCAGGAACAGTTGAGCCAGGTTCCAAGAAGCCGTCCTTCATTCTGGGAGAGGAGCAAGATGAGCTTCTCCCCAACTCCTCTGATCACGGATTGGCCCAGCTCCAGTGGTCTCCCTGGGGTCCCTATCCCCAGCCTCGGGCCATTCTAATCAACCAGTTGTTGAGAATGGTTGTGTTGATGTGTTGGGGTGGGTGGGTGGGTGGCGGTTTAATTCTCCCTCTGATCTTCATGACTGTCTCCAGCACCCCCCGGGGGGCCATCCCAAAGAAGCCTACAGGAGAAGGAAAAATTGTGTGCTTGTTGTCCAAACGCAGCTCAAGGACAGCCCTCCACTTCCTTCCCACAATAACGTGTGAGGTGTGGGGGGCCCCCAGTCACTCCTAAGTGGGGGGGGGACTCCTACCAGAATTGCCTACAGTGGACTTCTTCTGAAGTCTCTCCTGTCAAGAGTAAAATCCTCTCCCCTTTATTCATGTCCAAGCAAGTCGGAAGCCTTCAAAGGTGATCAAGGGAATTTAAGGGATAAACAAGTGGACGTGAATGCAAGAAAAAGAAAACAAAAGTAGTCATCCATGTGGAGAATTCAGATAGTGGACCCTTAAGTCCAGCTTCATGTCTGGTAGCCCTGCTTGGACATCTGGGTGCTGGGAGTCTCCGAAGCCCCGCGGTGCCTTGACTTCACTCTGTCCTCCAAATATGGACATGGGCGGGGCTCAGAGAGCAGGTGTGTGGTGACGAAGCTTCCCTATTTCCCTTTATTCATCAAGTTTCCTCTGACTGTTAAGTCCTTCTGGTCTCTGAGCTCCAGCCTTGTACAGTTGGACACACCTGGCCGGTGCCTCAGGTAGGAAGCCACCTCTGTTGCCAGGACTTTCTTTGGGGAGGAAGACTTGGTTTGACTGTGTTTTAGAAATGCATCCATGGGGCGCCTGGGTGGCTCAGTGGGTTAAAGCCTCTGCCTTTGGCTCAGATCATGATTCCAGGGTCCTGGGATTGAGCCCTGTATCGGGCTCTCTGCTCAGTGGGGAGCCTGCTTCCTCCTCTCTCTCTCTGCCTGCCTCTCTGCTGACTTGTAAACTCTGTCAAATAAATAAATAAAAATCTTAAAAAAAAAAAAGAAAAAAGAAAATGCATCCATTTCTCTGGGACCTGAAGACTCCCTTGGCTTCCTGCCTCCTCCCTTGTGACCACCTATTCAATTCTGACCTCATACGGGGCTGTGGTTGGTTCCTCCTTTCACGCCTCTCCCTTTTTTTTGGGGGGGGGGAGAGGCTTGCATTTTCCCAGTCTAATGTTTATTGCTTTGCCCTCAAATGCTGTCTTCTGGAAAAATGTCTTCTGGAAAAAAAGTATCGGCAGGCAGAGAACATACTAGAATGTCTGGATCAGAATGAATTCAGAGAACCTCAGGCCTGCAGAGGACTCAGGGGTCATATACTCTGTCTCCCTCTAGTTGCAGAGGAGAAAACAGAAATCTGTAAAGGTAAAACAACCCCCTCAAGGTCACATAGCTTATTATTGATAAATCAGCATAGAGTGAGGACTGGATACCCAGGATTGGTAACTTTCCAAAGGTCTTCAGACTGTTTTCTGGAGATCTTGGGAGTTCTGGGGGACCCACCTTAGCAGCTATGTGGGCAGAAATGGCAGCACCCTTTCCTTCCCAGCAGATGAATTTTTGTTGGATTTACATGTTGGTCTTCTGGTATGATTCTGCTTCAGCAAAACCTTTCACAATTTGGGAAGATTTTGAACATTGCTGATGGTTCTGTGGATGTTTAGGGGGAACAAGGATGGGGACTCTTCTCCAATGACGATGCTATGAAATCGACCTCAAAAGAAGTTCAAAATAGAGGAGAAGGAAGGGCTTCTCCTGTTGCCAAACCAACAGAGAAGCAAAGCTATTCTGATAACTATTCTCACATCCTTGATGAGTGACTTCAATCTGAGTTACTAAATCACATTTCTTTCTTTTGAATCTTTTGACTAGATTGATCCATGATTTTCTCAATGGAAAATCTATGGAATAACACCGATGAGTGGTATTACGATGAATTTGGAAATTTCAGTGGCACACCACCCACAGAAATATATAGTCCTTGTAGGATAGACACTGAGACACTCAACAAGTATGCAGTGGTGGTCATCTATGCCCTGGTCTTCGTGCTGAGCCTGCTGGGAAACTCCCTAGTGATACTGGTTGTCCTATACAGTCGGCTCAGCCAGTCTGTCACCGACGTCTACCTGCTGAACTTGGCCATAGCCGACCTGCTCTTCGCCCTGACCTTGCCTATCTGGGCTGCCTCCAAGGCGAAAGGCTGGATCTTTGGCACACCCCTGTGCAAGGTGGTCTCGCTCCTGAAGGAAGTCAACTTCTACAGTGGTATCCTACTACTGGCCTGCATCAGCATGGACCGCTACCTGGCCATCGTCCATGCCACACGCACGCTGACCCAGAAGCGGCACTGGGTCAAGTTCATATGCTTAGGCATCTGGGCGCTGTCCCTGATCCTGTCCCTGCCCATCTTCGTCTTCCGAAGGGCCATCAATCCCCCCTACTCCAGCCCGGTCTGCTACGAGGACATGGGCGCCAATACCACAAGACTACGGATAGTGATGCGGGCCCTGCCCCAGACCTTCGGCTTCCTCGTGCCCTTGGCGGTCATGCTGTTCTGCTATGGACTCACCCTGCGTACGCTGTTCCAGGCCCACATGGGGCAGAAGCACCGGGCCATGCGGGTCATCTTTGCCGTCGTGCTCGTCTTCCTGCTCTGCTGGCTGCCCTACAACCTGGTCCTGGTCGCAGACACCCTCATGAGGCTCCGGGTGATCGAGGAGACGTGCGAGCGCCGCAACGACATCGGCCGGGCCCTGGATGCCACCGAGATTCTGGGCTTCCTCCACAGCTGCCTCAATCCCTTCATCTACGCCTTCATTGGCCAGAAGTTTCGCCACGGACTCCTCAAGATCATGGCCTTCCACGGGCTCATCAGCAAGGAGTATTTGTCCAAGGACGGCAGGCCTTCCTTTGTTGGCTCTTCTTCAGCAAACACTTCTACCACCTTCTGAGCCCCTGGGCCCTGCTGGAGCGCCTCAGAGCACCTCCCTCACCGTCACATCCCATCCCGAGCCTCATGTCCACTGGTTGTTTCCAGTCTGTGTGTCAAGGCAGCTCCCGGTTGTGGTTACAGGAAACTACTGGGGCCACGTCCTTTTCAGGCCCATTGGAGGGTTTAGAAAGCCTGCCCTCGTTCCCCACGCCTCCCTATACTTACTATGCCAGCTGCTAGAGCTCAGTCCATCCTCGCACTGAGCCCACAGCACTCTGTTCTCTGGGGCAGTTAAAGACATTCGAAAGGCATCCTTTCAGGTGACGACAGAAAGTTCCTACCACGGGGAGCCGTTAGTGGCAAACAACAGTCATTGCTTTCCCGTCTCCCTTTCTTGCTTGCTGGCAAAGCCCACCTCCCTTGAGGGAGGCCGAGGACAGACACTCACTTTCCAAGACTCCCTTAGCTAGGAGTGGCCCCGTCATCCACGTCTGACTAGTAAGGTTTCAGGGCAATAGTGTGCTGGTGAACCACTCTCCTGGGAGAAAGAAGTCCAGGTTTGTAGCATTTACCAAGTTGCCTGGGGCAAATGCTCCCGCCACGACGATGTCAAAGGTTTTCATGTGTTTAGCAACTAGCTCACAAAAATTTAGGAAATGTAGTGGGCTGCTTTCACAAGTGGGTACAAACTGGCTTCAGGACACCGTTGTTTAAGAGGAAGTCTGCTGGGTCCAGGGACTCCTGGGAAGTATTCCTGATTTAAAAAGATAGAGAGAGAGACACACACCCACATATCCTTGGTTCTTGCCTTTGACTATGGTTGTGGGATATGATGTGACAAAGAGGCAAAAATTGTGCTCAACACACTTAGGCAGATTGAGTGGATGAGAACAAAGAGCTCAGAAGGAGACCCAAGCATAAATGGTCAATGATTTTCAACAAGGGTTACCAAGAATATTCAGTGGGAGAAAGGATAGTTATTCAACACATGGTGCTGGGCAAACCAGTTATCCACATGCACAGGAATGAACTTGGTCCCTTTCCTCCTACCATATACAAAAGTTAATTCAACATGAGTCAAATGCCTAATGATAAAAGCTGAATCTATAAAACTCTTGGGAGAAAACATAAGGAAAAGCTTCATTTGGTTTGAGGTTGGAGATGGATAGAAGTTCAGAGATGAGCTTTAGATCAAAGTTGAGAGTAGATCCAGGGATGAGGTTGGAGTTGGATGTGATGTGGCGGGGGAGCCAGAGATGTGGTGGCAGCTTGGGACAGGTCAGAAAAGGATGAGTATCAGGAATAGGGGGAGATCCAGAATAGGGAGAAGCTGGGGCTGGGGTTAGTGAGATTCAGGGAGGTGCAATGGGGTTGGGACCAAGTATGGGATGAGGTGTAGGAATGGCATGAGTGTGTGAGTGTGGTGGGTCTCGGGGAGAGATGTCAGAACTGGAGTGAATGTTAGGGGCTACTATTGTAGTCCAGTTAGTGGCTGGAGCAAAAAGACATAACTGGTAGAGTCACCATTTTCTGGGGAACATTGTCTAAGATGCTTTTCTGGGGGCCAGGATGGAGGTACCTTGGCTGTCCAGCCAACGGTCTCCAAGTGGGTTGATGAGAAAGGAGTTAGGGCTCAAGCCCTAAGAGGTAGATCTGATTCAGGAAAGAAGCTGGAAGAATGCAGAAGTCCAGGGAGGAGAATTCCAAGGCTGGCAAATGGGTCTTGGAATCTTCCTTTTTTCCCCTCCTTCCCCTAATTTCCTTCCACCTCTCAACTGCAAGCTTAAATGCCCATCTTCCTCCACCCTCTGCTGTCCCAAAGATGACTCTGTCAGAGGCTTCGGTAAGTGAATATGGATCCATATTGGGTCTGGGGAAACACAAATGACTCAAATACATCTGAAAAGATGCTTGGCCTCACTAGTAACCTGGGAAATGAGAATCGAACACCAATAAAATAACTTGGAATTGTTTTAAACAGGGAGGGATATATAGTTGATTCTCAAACGAATTGTGTGGGTCCACTGATAATGTGGATTTTTAAAATAAATACAGTAGTATAAACTTTTTTTCATCCTGATTTTTAAAAATTTTAAATGCAAGCTACTCCCCCAACATGGGGCTTGCACTCACGACCCCAAGACCCATGGCATGGCCCACTGACTGAGTGAGCCAAGTGCCCCTTCATGATTTTCTCCAGCTCACTCTGTTGTACGAATATAGTATATAGAACATACAAAATATGTGTTCATCTACTATGTATGTTATTGGTAAGGATTCTGGTCAACAGGAAGCTGTTAACAGTTAAGTTTTTGGGGAGTCAAGAGTATACATACAGATTTTCAATGGTGTGGTGGGGTCCATGTCCCTAACCTTCTGTTGTTTAAGGGTCAACTGTAGTCAGAACTCTCTTTGAACAAAGGCAACATTGTTCCATTAGAGTTTCAGTGCAATGTGTAATTCTCCGGTAGAGCTCAATACATAAATGATTGGGTTTCAGATCTGTAACAATGTCGGGATGTGGGTGCTGAAATAACAGGGAGTCCTGAAATATCAAAAGCAAGTGTTTCAACTACTAGATAGGGCAAGGTCAAGGAGATGGTTCATCTCAGAGAGGGGATCGGTGTCCAGGGTGAGGTTGGGATCAGGGATGGGGTGCATCTTGGCAGGGGACTGGGGTGTCAGAGATGGTAGTGAGCCAGGGATGGGACTAGGTTAAGGATATGGGGGACCTCAATGATAGAGTTGGGGATAGGGGTTGGGATGTGAATGTATGTTCTGTTTGGTGCTTGCTGTTTGTAAGTTTTGAAAATTTGATTTGGGGGCACCTGGCTAGCTTGCTGGAAAGAGTTTGTGACACTTGATCTCAGGGTGGTGAGTTTGAGCCCCACCTTGGGTGTAGAGAATACTAAAAATGAATGAATGAATGAATGAATGAGCTTAAAAAATAAATTATATAATGTTTTTAAAAAAAGAAAAATTTTTTGTAGGCTAGATTAACATTTTCCAGACTCCATGTAATTATGTTGAAATATACTATTTTCTCGTACACTAGTTATCCGTCTGACAAACTATGGCCCCTCACCATCCATTGCCCAGTCCAGTGGCCTGTTTTTACTGATTCCAGCAAAAACATTAACTGAGAGTCCAGCTTTTATTCCATAGGGGTTTAAGGTGGCCCCTTTCCCTGCAACTTGCATTTGAACTAGGGAATTTCAGAGGAAATGAAATGACCACCTCCTCTTTGGTGTAAGGGTCTTTCCTGAGATGTGTCTTCTCTGAGATGACCACTAACTGAAAAATCATGATGGATGACAGACTTTGCTGTTTCCACGTGGAAGATGGAGTGGCCAAAGATCTCTGGGTTTGGTCCTTCTAGAAAGCCACACGTGGCTAATGGTTATGTTCTCACCACGGTTGCTTTTTTGTATCCTGGGACTCTGTTTTTAAACTCAAGATCCTTTTTCCAGCCTTGAGAGTAAACATGAACTTAAGAATTAAAAATGTATAAAAGAAATAGAATGTTTTTCAGACTTTCTTAAATTAGTTTTTTATCAAAATATTTCATGTACATTGTTTAAAAAAGTGAAATAGTTTTATTAAGCTTATAATGAACATCAGCAGCAACCCTCTTGCCACACTCCCTGCAGAGAAGGAAACAACTTTCAACTCTGATAGCTGTTTCATTTAATAGTGGTGTACATATTTCTAAATATGCTTATTCAGCTGGCTTTTGATTTTTTTCTTCCAGTTTTAGATATCATTTATTGACTTTCTCCTTTGGCTTCTGAGGATTTAACACTTTTTCAAACTCTCTTGGGCAATTACTCCTGTCCAAGCAAATACTGCCCCTCCCATTCTCCCAGGACAGATAACCATGTTTTTTGGTTAAATCAACATCCAATGTTTTTGTTATAATGACTATATAAAAAATTATTCACAGTTGGATACAATGTTTGCATTTCCTTTCTTTGTATAAGTTCTGTCTTCCCTGGAATTAACAATAGGATTTTCATCATTACTTTTTTTTTAAAATTTTTTAATTTAATTTTATTTTTTTTTTAAGATTTTATTTATTTATTTGACAGAGAGAGATCACAAGTAGACAGAGAGGCAGGCAGAGAGAGAGAGAGAGAGAGAGAGAGGGAAGCAGGCTCCCTGCTGAGCAGAGAGCCCGATGCGGGACTCGATCCTAGGACCCTGAGATCATGACCTGAGCCGAAGGCAGCGGCTTAACCCACTGAGCCACCCAGGCGCCCCTCATCATTACTTTTTATTACATCATTCTCAAATGTCTCCCTCAATACCTTCACATTCATCAGATAATCTATATGTATTTTTTTCATTCTTGGACACCTCCCTCTGGAGCCTTCATAGTCCTGTTTTCAACCCAGACAGGTTACTCTTCAGACCTACGCTTTTTTTTTTTTCTAAATTGCTTTAACTACATTACCAGATTAATTTTAGAATCTGATAGCCAATTTCTATAATATTATCCTACTTGGATTTTAAGTTGGATTATGTTGAATCTGCAGATCAATTTGGAGAAAGCTGACATCTGAACAATATCGAGTTTTCCAATCCATAGCATGGTATCTTTCTCCACTTTTTCTCATCTTGTCTAATTTATCTAGGCAATGTTTTGTAGTTTTCAGTACATAGATCTTGTACATGTTCTGTTAAATTTATCCCTAAGTACTTTGTAGTTATTTGGATGCTATTATAAATAGTATTTAAAGTTTTTTTTTCAGGTTTTTTTTTTTTTTTTTTGCCAGTGTATAGAAGTATAATTGAGTTCTATGTATTGACCTTGTATTCCAGGAGCTCATGAAATTCTCTTATTAGTTCTAGTGGTTTTATTTCTAAAGATCCTTTTGGGTTTTATATGTAGATAATCATGTCATCTGAGAATAAAGACAGTTGTATTTCTTCCTTTTTAAAATGTCTTTTATTTATTTATTTATTTATTTATTTTGCCTTAATTCATTGGCCTCTAGTACCTCCAGTACCTCCATGTACCTCTAGTACAATACTGAAAAGAGGTTGTGAAAGTGAACATCCCTGCCCCGTTCCCAGTCTTTGGAGTAAGCATTCAGTCTTTCTCTATTAAATATGATGTTAGCTAAAGATTTTTCCTAGAGGACCTTTATCAGGTTGACGAAGTTGCTCCCATGAATGGGTGTTAAATCTTCCTCTTTCTTTAAGTGCTTACAGGCTTTGTGACCAAAGGCAGATTACTGAGCTTCCCTTTACTACCTTATAAAATGTGGATAATAACAATGTTCAGCTATTTCTTATGGAGATTAAATTAAATAAG